CTAAAATTCGGTTCTGCGCAGTCAAGGTCATTTGCTCACGAAGTTTGCCGGTTACTATACCTACATTCCGCGCATAGTTGGAGGGGATTTAAAGAATTCGATTCCACAATATTTATACATATAAGACTTAAGAGCGACTAGACCATTTTAAAATAGGAGAGGCGTGTTATTATTTTAATGTTCCTCGAACTATTCGTGTGTAACAGTCGGAGAAGGCTTTTGGGAAAGAAAAATGGCGTGAACTTGCTCAGAGTAATGGAAATTCCCAAATTGATTGATTTTTTATTATTGTTTTAGTACGTGGGCTATTATCAAAATTTGCAGTTTAGTCGTCTTGGGTTGGTATTATAAAGTCTTTGCAAACACAAATGGACACAAAGAAAGTTTTTATTTAAGACGAACACAAATATAAAGAAAGAAGGAGAAAGTAACAAGAAATAGATAGTCCAAGCAACACAAGCAGTACACGAAACAAAAAGCAAAAATTATAAAAGGCGTAGAACAGAAAAGATAATACGGGATGCGCGCTCGCAAGTCAGATTTCGACTGCGAGGGGCTCAATTTGCGAGAGAAAAATGCTAACGGCTGCCAATCTCCTCCTTTAAGCTGCTGGAGTACTCCAGCTATTGCAGAGTCCGAAGCGTCTGTCACGAGACTCAACTTTGCTTTGACTCTTGGGAGTCAAAGCAAAGTTGAGTTTGGATGCAGAATTATTTCTGATCGGTTGGCGTGAAGCCGCTGCGTTTACAGCTTAGTTGCAGGAAACAAATTTTTTGCTAAATTTAAAGTCGAACTTAATTGCTTTTATCTAAAGATTTAGGAGCAATACTACCTTATTATAAATACAATAAATTGAGATTAATATAACAATAGTATATTGAGAACACACTACGTATAACAATAGTATATTGAGAACATACTACTTATAACAATAGTATATGTGTCATAGCGATTAGTAAACACTTGAATTTTTACTGGTTAACACTTTTACTGGTGGTAGAACCTCTTGTGAATCCACACAGGTAGGTACCACCACACTCCCTATTTCTACTGTGAAGCAGTAATGCGTTTCGGTTTGAAGGGTGGGGCAGCCGTCGTAACTATACTGAGACCTTAGAACTTATATCTATATCTCAAGGTGGGTGGTGCATATACGTCATAAATGTCTATCGGCTCCAGTAACCACTTAACATCAGGTGGACTTTGAGCTCGTGTACCCATCTAAGCAATAAATAAATAAAAAGAATACCTAATAACAAAAGCGAAACGTTAACAAAATGTTGTTATACGTCTCTAACAGATGGCGCTAGGAATACGATCTTTACAACATTGTTTCAACGGTTTACATGACTACATCTTGTATTTCAGTGAGATTCTGCGCATACTGGACTCTCTCCAGTTGACTGATAAGGCTAAAGTGGCAACGCCGGTAGATTGGAAGGTATGTTTGAATATTTGTTTTTCCCGCGCAATAGAACAAGAAAATAACAGCTACAACAGTTCCTTTTAAAAATTAAAATACTATTGTAAAAGACGTAATTAATATTTTCCGGTTTCGAATTTTAGCCGCCGGGAAGGCTTTAAATGTATTCGCAAATTTTGTACATGTGTGATTTGCTTTTATTTAAATTTTCTCAAAACATGCGCTGTTTGCTGGACGATTGAAAATGGCAACCGAGAGATTGTCTTTATATTTTGTAGTTTATAATAATTTATTGAAATAAGATTAAATGAATATTATTTAAATAGAAATATAATTTAAGAACCGAACTATGTTGAACATTTTTTAACACGTTGAACGACATGACGGACACTGCTTATTCATGGAGTAGTTTCCCCTAGGGACGCAACCAATATATCAAGAATTGTCCCAAAAATAATTAATATGTGTTTTTTTTTTCGCTAATGTCATCAAGAAATGCTCTGAGGAATTGTTCGAGATGATACCGGCATCTCGTTTTTACCATCGCACCGCCCGCCACCGGAGTAGAGTTCATCCGTACTACCTGGAGCCACTGCGGTCATCCACAGTGCGTTTCCAGAGATCTTTTTTGCCACGTACCATCCGGCTATGGAATGAGCTCCCCTCCACGGTGTTTCCCGAGCGCTATGACATGTCCTTCTTCAAACGAGGCTTGTGGAGAGTATTAAGCGGTAGGCAGCGGCTTGGTTCTGCCCCTGGCATTGCTGAAGTCCATGGGCAACGGTAACCACTCACCNATTTATTTTTATTTATTGCTTAGATGTGTGGACGAGCTCACAGCCCACCTGGTGTTAAGTGGTTACTGGAGCCCATAGACATCTACAACGTAAATGCGCCACCCACCTTGAGATATAAGTTGTAAGGTCTCAGTATAGTTACAACGGCTGCCCCACCCTTCAAACCGAAACGCATTACTGCTTCATGGCAGAAATAGACAGGGCGGTGGTACCTACCCGCGCGGACTCACAAGAGGTCCTACCACCAGTAATTACGCAAATTATAATTTTGCGGGTTTCACTTTTATTACACGATGTTATTCCTTCACCGTGGAAGTCAATCGTGAACGTTTGTTGAGTACGTATTTCATTAGAAAAATTGGTACCCGCCTGCGGGATTCGAACACTGGTGCATCGCGCTCAACGCGAATGCACCGGACGTCTTATCCGTTAGACCACGACGACCACAAACTACTCATTATTACTCATACGACTACTCATTATTTTCCGAGATCTCTAGCTCTTACAATTAATTTTACACGTAACTTAGTTTGTTTCGTAAACCTCAAACCTAGTGGGTAATTTATGGTTTTTTAGAACCAACTGATGTCCACAGATAATAAAGTTGACTCGATTAATTATTACACATTCTGAAAAATACTTCGAAAGAGATAAAATAATGATTATTTTCCTGTCTCTTCGAATAGCATTCGAATATTACGAGGAATTGCCTCGCAAACAGGCAAGAGGTTTCTGAACTCAAGATAAAAATTTAAATGATTGTGACTGTTTTATTATTATTATTTTTGTTCTTTGAGTCCGGTATTATATTATTTTATTTATTTATTAATACATTATTTTTTTTGTTTCTTTTAAACTAAAATGTTTTTGGTAATTTTAGGCGGGTGACGACTGCATGGTGTTGCCAACCGTGCCGGAGGACCAGATCAAAACGTGTTTCCCACAGGGTGTCAACGTTGTTCCGCTTCCGTCCGGCAAGAATTATCTGAGGAAGACTGCTTGCCCTAAAATTTGACGAAATTAGGGTTGCGGCACGAAAAATTAAAATATATTTTCCTTTTTTTTCTTATATAATGACTACGAAGGGAACAAATTGAAGTTTTATTAAACGAAAGTGTATTAAATATTGTTGTCATTTCCTTGCTTTTTTTAAACTACCCGCATAAAACTAATACGTCGACAAGATTTGTGCACACCTATCTATTTATTTTTAAAAGGTACCTAAATCATCCGCAATTCTCAAATTGAACGTTACAAATATTAAAATCAACCTTTTTTTTTTACGCTGGGGAATTTCTTCACGGATACCCAGTTGGGAGGGTGAAAGACCGCGATATATCGCTTTCGGCGGTGTCGATTCCGGTATCTCCAGTGACGAAGAGGGAGAAGAGGAAGACTGAGGTCCTCCTCATAATCTCCTAGGAGATTACGCCTTGAAAAGGTGGGTGAGGCGTCCCATAGCAACTACTACCGACTGAACCCCCACTCCGCCTAGACGAAATTTACGATACGGCACAGTGCGCGCTAAAGTATGTCCTGATGATAGGACGGGATTTTACCCCCGGGAAGATCCCGAAGAACGCAATTTCGGGAGTCAAACTATGGACGGCGCACAGGAGCCACTTTGACCGAGCGTCCCCGCACCCGTCACCCGATGGTACTTAGAAGAGCAGAGTTCGTTGAACCCGCGTCGTCATCCCGTCTTACCGTATCGTAATATCAACCTATCATTTACATTTCGAAGCTATATACGTGATCAAAGCGAATAAATAAATCAACACTAGCTGACCCGGCCAACATTGTTTTGCCGTATAAATTCTTTCTAGGAAAGATATATAACCTAGATACCGATTGCAGCGCCATCTGACGGGCTGATTTGTGAATCTAAACTATTCTCGAATCCACCTGAAGGAACTCAGAACATTTCATTGAAATAGGTCCAGCCGTAGGAGTTCAGTGACAAACACACGCACAGAAGAAATCTATAAAGATTATAATTGACCAGTAAACTATAAAGATGTTTCAGTTTAAAATTTTTACGGAATAGTTTTAATTCTGTTGGGGAAATTAAATTATTGTAAATTGAGAAAATAAAATGCCTTGTATGGTAGGTACAAGAGTGAGAAGGAAAACGAGAATATTCCACGAGTTCAGTCTAGTCGATTCTTTGTTAATTGTAAGATGGAATAAGTGTGTTAGTGCTTAAATTATATCGATTGCAGTAATTTTGACATATTACAGAAATATTTGTTGTATATTTTGTGGATGTCTAGTTTAGGCTTAGAATAGCATCATCCCATCTCGTCCCTTGAATATCATAAAAGTCCACCACACTATTACTATACACTACTACAGCTTTGCTTGTTTCTGCCTCAAAGCTATCGTACGTTCCAGTTTAAAGTACGAGACCGCACTTGCACAATGAAATTGAGATGACCTCATGTCTCAAGTTGGGAGGTGATATGCATGCTGTAGTCTCCGTGGACGTAGTGCAACCAAGCAATGTGGTTGCATGAGCCGTAAATTTGTTCAACCACCTACACTTCCAAACAATATATATTTAGGGATACGTATTTAAACAAGATCTTACTACATTTCTGTGAATATGAGAATTGGAACAGGTGCAAGGTGTTTACAGCAGCAGTGTGCCGGCGTAGTGAGTAGCAGCCGCGGGCGGCAGTGAAAGCCCTCACTTTCATCGTGGTGGGGCGGGTTACCACTGCCACAACAAAAGTGAACGTCGCTTAGCGCGCGTACAACGGTTTGATTCTGCTGCCCGACTAGGTGACAGTAAGTTTTCGGTCGTGTCGCGTGTCGTGCGTACCGTATCCGTGCGTTCGTGATGACCAGGTGGTGGATGGTGATGTTGATGGCGGCAGGAGCGGCGGCCGCCGGGAGCAGGCTGCCTCGCACCTCGCAGTCCGCTCCCCCGCAGCAATCCTCTGCCGCACCCCGCTTGCCGCAGAGGAATCTAACCCTAGCGTCCAGGTCTACTGTTAGAAACAGGTAAGCTGCGTCCCAACACTAATCCAGCGGTTGTTCTCGATCTTTTTCACGTCCCTTCTCTTGTCTTACTCAACTAATCTACTACAAGTCGTCGTGCTCGTCATAATTGTCCTCAAAGTTAAACTAAACTCTATAAAATTATACTTTACTGACATGTAGATTTGTGCGTGCTTAGTGTCCATTATGTAAGGCATCGGTAAGCATTGCAACGACGCCGAGATGAAATGTCCATAGATCGATTCAAATGTTTTCGAGTTCAATTTAGTCAGATAATAAACAGAATGGATATGATTATGGTTCTAGTGTATGTTGGTTGTTAAGCAACTGTCCGGGTATTTGAGCTTTTATAAACTTGTCAAGTACGACTACTACAGATAGGTGCACAAGTATAAAAGCGATATTAATGAAATGTCGACAGCGCTGTGCCCTAATTTGTTTTCTTATTTTATTTTGAAACTAATTTTGTTTTGTTTGTTAAATTTATTGCAAAATAACTCTTGTAGCGTTTTATATGCAAATGATGAAACTAAATAATTTGGAACAACAGAGTTTATTTGGTTGTAATATTTTAAAGCTACTGTATATCTATGATAATTTAAAATTACGGAAAAACAATTTGTCCTATAAATATACACGACATCAGAATTTACATAAAAAGACGATTATTATTGCCTTAACATTGTATTATAATGATGAAAATCAAAATGAGATTTTACGCAACCCAGAATAAATAAATAACTGATAGAGCATCACATTTTGTAACTATAAAAATGAATAAACAAACCTTATGACTGCTTTCAAAATCACTTCATATCATTTTGCAACTATATTCTATGTTAGATGTATTTAATAGCAGCCTAAGAGAAATAATGCAGCACTAAAATAAGGAAGTCTTGCAATATTAACAACAATGGGCGACCGATCGATTGTTATGATTTTTATTTAAATAATTTAATACGTTCATGTATCACATATATATGTATTATGCACCGCAAACCTATGAAAATATTCTGATACTTAATTCAAAGCTTAATATTTAATGTCTCGTATGTCAAATATTTAATGCCTAGGTTCCTACTAAAAATGATTGGTCAATTATGTTACATTCTCGAATTACGTAATATTAATAGCGTTTTTAATTAACACAATTGATATAAAGATGCAATAGAACTAAACGCATCAAAGCCGTTTGATCCCGATGCATTTGCCACGTTCTAAATCAATTTTACGGATTAGCTTTACATAAAACGTCACATGAACGGATAATTTACAACAATAATAATTCTCTTAGTTCGCCGTTGGTTGAGCGTCTGGTATTTAGAATCGGTCTAATTAAAATCACCGTCAAGGCTGAAAACATCTTCTACTTATCTGGTAACGTTTAAAATGTAAATGCTTAATTGCATTTTGTCGTGCAGAGACTGTCATAGTGTGGATACGATTTCATTCCACAACAAAATAAATGTAGGAATATCACGTGGCTGTCGATTTCACTTTGCCATGAAAGAAATTAATAGATCACATTCCTATGAAGAATTATATTAGCTGTGTTATTTTTTAAAATTATGTTTCCTACTTTTCGCTGTGTATTCTTATTAAAATTGCTTAGAAATCGATATAAAGCGAAAGTTACGTGGCTCGATAATTTTTTTCATCTATGATAAAATAAAATTTTTTTTTTATTGCTTAGTTGGGTGGACGATCTCACAGTCCACCTGGTGTTAAGCGATTACTGGAGCCCATAGACATCTACGATGTAAATGCGCCACCCATCTTGAGATATCAGTTCTAAGGTCTCAGTATAGTTACAACGGCTGCCCCGCCTTTCAAACCGAAACGCATTACTGCTTCACGGTAGAAATAGGCTGGGTGGCGGTACCTATCCGCGCGGACTCACAAGAGGTCCTACCACTAGTAAAAAATTTTAATATTAAAAATGTGTGGAAGTAGTTCTTATCTTATTTACTTGGACAATCTGCGTCACTTCCTTAGAATACTACTGCGGCACGATTTGAGATATGGGATCAAAGTCAGAAATCGATCTCATACTTCGATCCGAACTATGTAGTACGTAGCAGAAATAGCCAGACAGCCTTCGAAATCAAGCAACAAAAAAATTCATATATAAAAAAAAATCAAATTCATATTTTTTGCGATTTTTTTAAACTAAGTCGTTCTTTCAAAATCTTGTTCATGTTGGTACCTGCCTGATTATTTAGAAGAAGAAAAATGGTAACTGCCTCAGAATCGGAGGACTACGATATAGCTCCGTGAAGATGGAATGAACCATTACATCAAATTACGATCCCATTATTAAACGCCTCTATGATCATTAAACTTAAAAAAGATTTAATAAACAAAATCCGATGATTTTTGAAATTAACTACACTTGAATTATTAATATAAATTATATATTGTTCTGTTGTCAATATTAAATTTACACTCACATCACTTTTTCCTTTTACTTTTCGTATTTCTTTTCATAGTTTGTAATAAATACTTAATTAACAACATAAAAAAAAATCTGAATAGTCAGATAACGCTGTCTGTTTCTCGTATCGAATGATGTTGGATGCACAATGAAGACCCTGGAGTAACTTTAAAATAAAATAAAAAAAGAAAATATATAGAGTTCCACGATGAGGAGACAATATCAATTTATAAAAATAAATTCACTTCATTTATAAAATGTATTATTAATCTAAAGATTATCTATCTACAACCTGCCTACAAAGAATATTGCGGAATTTGGTCATGTTGCACGTAGGGATACCAGCAATTTGGAACGCCTTGTAGTGACCGGTAAAATAGAGGGAAAAAGGCCTAGGGGTAGAGGTTCCAAACGATGGTCGGACCAAATAGCAGAGGAACTGGGGATACCTGTCAGCGACGCACTGCACCGGGCTGCAGGGCGGGATCGATGGAGACAGCTGGTTGACGGAATCGGACGGAGTCACGATCTTCAGCAGTGAGGGACCGATCAAATAGAGAGAGAGAATCTAAAGATATGTGTCAAAGTATGCGCCGGCATTTACTTTTGTCTATGGGCTCCGAAAATCAATGAAAATTACTGGTGTGGGTCATGATTCGTGTGTTCATCTGCTCATCTGTAGCAATAAAAGAGTTGTAAGTTTCACTATCAATGTACTTTCCATTCATTCACTTTGGCTGTCGAATAACGACGAATGTTTTCGAGGTATAAAAATCGTACCTAGTGTCTTCGATAATTATTTATCGAAAAAAATGTTTTTTAACAACTAAAACTTTTAGTAGTAGTATTCAGTTGAAGTAATCTAAAGAAGCTGAAGTGATCTAGAAAGTTGAAGAAATCAACCTACAGCTGTCATTTGGAACGTAACAATTCTTTCTAAGTCAAGCTTAAATTAATTAAAGTAGTTCATAGTATTTTCTGTACCAGCAATGAAACGCCAAGATTGCTAACGGACGATAGCGTTCCCGCGAGACCACGATTTTCGGGGGACAGCTAATTTTGTATTATATTATTTAAAAATCATAATATGCAGGTATATGAATCTTCTCACTTTCGATGCGTAGTGCTTATTCATGCTGAATAACAAAATCCGCCTTCGTTTTCGCCAATATCAAGTTAAAGAGTATTGGAGAGGGTACCAAAATAAAAGTGGGGGTTTTAAATGCAATCAAAAAGCGAAAACTACAGTTCCTTGGTCACATTCTAAAAAATTGGGGATCCATAGGTATGGATTTCCGCTCAGGGTCAGAAACCAGGGAGAGTAGGGTTCTCGCGGTCAACACTACAACTAGACTCGCGACGCCACCCCTAGAACGCCCGACCGACGGGTCGAGGTGGTGTCGGGACAAGGCAATAGTCGGCGACTCTACGTCGGCCGTCTCTGCACGGCAGCCTGACAGGCCACCCCAGGCGGTGCCGCTGGTGTTCCGAAATGCCCCGCTCCCAACACTTTAGCCTGCTGATATACAAAATCTAAACTTATCTTTTGTTAACCAGTCTCGTTAATACAACAATATAAATAATTAATACTAACACTGAGCAATACAATAAAGAGTTCTTCAGACCTAAAGCTTTCGTACATGTTATTCTAGTTAAATAATTAATTATGCTCGTGCTAAACTTGATCGCTGAGGCGTGATTGAGTAACAAATATCTAAACACCTTAGCATACTCTGGCATTAAAATTTATAATATTTATGAAGAAGGATGGCAAGGATACAGGCTATTGTTATAGTCTCAAGGTTTAGTGTTTAGAAGCGTTTCTAAGCATTTTTAAAACAGATTATTCACTGAAATATATTCCATTGTTATTTTACAACCTTTCTTGCGGAAACAAATTTATTTTCAAGTTTTAATATTCCAGGAAATATCTCTTGTGTTCTTATTTAATTTTTGTTCAACATAGCCGTTACCTAAAGTTTGATAGTTTGTACTGATCATTTCACTGACACAAGCTTGGCTTGTCGCAACGAAATTATATAAAATTAATCCAATCACATCGGCGCCACGGCGTCCGTACTGTCCAATAATACCTAACACTAATCTGACTTTATAATTACCTAACTCAGATTTACATAGACCGAGTACAGTCAGCTTACAGCATGCTCGCACGAAATACACGGTGCCCGCGGAGAGGATTATGAAACCTCAATTTCGTTCGCAAATATTCAACTAAATTGCTCTTATTAGCCGAATAGAATTCACGAGATTTTGTACTCTAATAATACTCTTTACGGGCAGGAACCCTCTACATCGATGACGCTAATTACAGTCTAGAGTTTTAGACGTAAGTAAATGCTGCAGTTATCAAGGTATCGAGTGTCAGTAACTAAAACGTTAAGCTGCTTTTAAAGTGAACATGTTCTTGGATGCATTTTATAAGCTTAAAACATAAACAGGTGGCCAATAGAGACGTTGTCTGAACACGAAACGAGATCAAGGTTACGCATTTGTATTGTAGTTCGGGTGCTAATTACGCGAGCTCCTATATCTTCGACCATTGGTTTGT